ATGCCCGTGTATGCCCAGCAGGGCCCTGCAGGTACCCTCGACGAGTTCCAAAGAGGTCACGAGACGCCTCTCCCCTCCCAGACCTTCAAGTCGGAGGCTGCACCCGACAATGATTACAGGAGGCACGCCAGATACTCCAAATTCCTTATTAATCGTCCCCCGGGTCCGGTTTTTAAGGCGCCTTTTTGGTAACTGGGGGGGGTCTGGTTTATTGGGGCGCTCTCTTTGGATTGGAGCTTAGGGGGTCCGGTTTACCAAGGCGCCCCGTCGAAGAGGGGTGTCCGGCATATCAGGTCGCATTTGGAGAGGGGTCCGGTTTTTTATTTTAGGGGGGGGGGTCGATCTAATAAGGGATTTGGAGTAAGAGATTGGTCTGCCAATCTGTGCCCCACGAACCTCCTGTCTCCCGATGGGCCCGCAGGCCTGAGGTATACCTCGCGAAGCGCGGAGTCGACGAAGGCTGTGCCACATCGATTTCTTATCGCAGGATGTCTTGTCCATAGTTGTAAGTCGGGCCTGTCCCCCTACAGGGGGAATATTCAAAAATAGTCAAACATAGTCTGGGGACGATTTTGTTGGTACTTTTGGTTTTTTTGAGTGTTCTTGAAGTTTCTTATCTGCTTGTGGGGGGACATGCCCGACCCAACCGTAGTTGCCTCGGAACGCCAATTCTGCTACGCAGCACGTACCGTACCCAACATGTCCGTGTCAATACGCTGCGTGTTGATTCAGCGTGTTGGCCCGCGCTCTGGGGGACGTGTCGCGTCAGACCTACGTTGTGTTCACTCTGCGTGTTGAGCTCCGCATCAGTGCGCTGCGTGTTGCGCGTTGCGCATCGGGGCTGCTAAGATCTTCGCGTGCGCGCCTGCTGTGTGTGATCCGTCGCTCGTACTTCCCGCCGCGGTCGGCGAGAGCCGGCCGCCGCGCCAGACCTGGCCGGGCCGCCCCCCGTCCACAGGCGGAGGAGGGGGGGGAGCAGAAGACGGGGTAGACCAGTCCTTCCCCGCGGAGGCAGGTCGGAGGGTGACAGAAGCCTTTGCCACGCCTCGGCGTGCCAAGCGGCATGGTGGCGGACACACATGTGAGGGCCAGGACGAGGAATTGAAGGGCCAGGGGAGGGAGGAGAGAGAGAGAGAGAGAAGGAGAGAGAGAGAGAGAGAGAAAGAAAGAGAGAGAAAGAGAGAGAGAGAGAGAAACAAAAAAAAGAGAGGAGGAGGATGAGGAGGAGGAGGAGGAGAAGAAGAAGGAGGAGCTGGCGGAGGAGGGCGTGGAGGAATAGATGGAGTGGCAAGATGAGGTCGACGAGTTTTCCGCTGTCCTTCCGCGGGGGAAGATCGGAGGCTGATTGAAGCCTCAGCCCGTCAAGTCGCTTCGCCGGGTTTGCTGGCTTGCGCGCTTTGGGTCTAGCCCTGAGCTGTTTTCGCTACGGGGTGTTTTGCTATAGGGAGGAGAAAGGGGAGGAGGAGGAGGAGAAGCAGGAGGAGGAGAAGGAGGAGGAGAAAGAGGAGGAGGTGGTGGAGGAGGAGGAGGAGGAAAAGGAGGAGGAGGATGGGAATGCCAGGGCTACGGGTAGGTGGGGTAGGCACCCTGGCTCCCCTCACACTCCCTTGGGGGGGGGGCGGCCAGCTGCCCTGGCAGGCTGCGCGCCGCGCAGCCATTTCGGCCCCTCCAGCTTCGCCTACGCTTCCCTGGGGCCCCGGATCCGCGTCGTCAGGCGCGAGGGGTTGGGCATTCTCCGTGCCATCGCTGCTGCTGTCGAGCCTATCGATCGGTGTCTCCTGGCCAGGCGCCACGTGCGCCTCGAGTGCGCCCCCGGCGTGCGCCCGACGTTTGCTGTCATGATGGTCGTCCCCCTCGACTGGCCGGACAGAACTGCCCCGACGACTGGCGCGCGGGTTTGCTATCGCTGGACAGATCGAGCCGTCGGGCGTGCTGCGGCCCATTGAGGCGACGACGAGTGGGAACACGCGCGCTCGAGCCGGGGAGCGGCTCCTCGGGCCAGACGCGGAGGCTTTCGTGGACGCCTTCGTGCACGAAACATCGGTCACGCCGCGGACCGCGGCTGTCTTCAAGAGAACGGCGGAGGAGATCCAGG